TTGTCTCGCACAACGAGTCTCTGTGCAAAATGTCAGCTCGATTGGATCACGGGAAGTGGGTTAAAAAACGACCGAAAGATTTGCACGGTCGTAAGCAAGCAAGCAAGCACGCAAGCAAGCGAACTTAATATAAAGGGTTTAAAAAATAAGAATAGGTTTTAACCCTTTCTGGAAATTTAACAGGAGGTGTTGTTCAAACACCAAATAGATACCTTTTGCAAGCAATGAAGTGTGCATTAAGCACACGTACTTGTGGCAAACATGCAAACAAACATGCTCCGATAATATATGGGCATTGTCTTTGAAACTGATTGGCTTACACCAGAGACGAGCAGCCTCCTTTATGGCCTCGTCTCACCACCAGTGTGAGACCAGAGAACAACGACAAAAGACGAACAGTACAACAACAATGCCACGTGTCGGAGCATTTGCAGCTCGGTTTGAGCAGCTACATCGTGGGATACCTTTTCAGCTGCCGGCCAAGTCTAACATGAGTGGCGAGTGATATTTGAAATGGTCCTGATGGGTCCTTTCATCAACCCGCATTGTCCAGCGTGATGAACTGTGGCCAATCAACCCACATAACCGACATGGGGTTGAGGAGGGCCTTCATCCAACAAAGAGCTGTCATTTATTATTACAACCAAGCTCGCGGCCGTGTTTGTCATGCAAATGAACAATTCACTGATACCTTCAAACACGTATATTAATTTCCAACTAATCAGTTGTGACGTCTTGAATGAAATCTCTGTCACGGCTGTACGAAGCTTAAATTCACGAGCAAATTATGTAACTGTTGCATACTTGTGCTCAAACTCCATGCATCTCAATGGGGCATTTGAAAATCCTTCCATCAAAATCATGCCTTGTTAAGCGTTCGTTTAATTCCAGGCAATCCTGTTAGATTACATTTTATGCGCGGGCGTGTTTATCGCGCTGCTCTTTAAGCAACGTGTTAATTTATTCGTTATCACGCAAGTCGGTTGCTTTTACTCTATGGGGACATTTCCAGTTGCTTTTGAAATCCAAAAATAAGATGGCAATGTGTGTATTTGTTTTCATTCCAGTAGGTCAAGGAACAGACGTTGTTTAGCAGAGGAAATGTGATTGATTTGAAGAAAAATAAAAAAATAAACACTTAAACTCAATAGAAAGTTTCCACTAAACATTTAGACTCAGGGGTTTAAAAATAACTTGTTTTTTTAATTCAAAGAGCTAAAGGTGCAAAACATGAAAATCTTGCGCAAGCCACTGCTGGCAGAAGGGCCTCTACGGGAGGGAGCTGAAGAGACCCTCTCTAGAGGCAATTCCAGCCTCCTCCACCCTCCTGACCTCCTCCACCCCCCTGGTCTCCTCCACCCTCCTGGTCTCCTCCACCCTCTGGTCTCCTCCACCCTCCTGGTCTCCACCCTCTGGTCTCCTCCACCCTCTGGTCTCCTCCACCCTCTGACCTCCTCCACCCCTCTGGTCTCCTCCACCCCTCTGGTCTCCTCCACCCCTCTGGTCTCCTCCACCCCTCTGACCTTCTCCACCCTCCTGGTCTCCTCCACCCTCTGGTCTCCTCCACCCTCCTGGTCTCCTCCACCCCTCTGGACTCCTCCACCTTCCTGGTCTCCTCCACCCTCCTGGTCTCCTCCACCATCTGGTCTCCTCCACCCCCCTGGTCTCCTCCACCCTCCTGGTCTCCTCCACCCTCCTGGTCTCCTCCACCCTCCTGGTCTCCTCCACCATCTGGTCTCCTCCACCCCCCTGGACTCCTCCACCCTCCTGGTCTCCTCCACCCTCCTGGTCTCCTCCACCCTCCTGGTCTCCTCCACCCCCCTGGTCTCCTCCACCCTCCTGGTCTCCTCCACCCTCTGGTCTCCTCCACCCTCCTGGTCTCCACCCTCTGGTCTCTTCCACCCTCTGGTCTCCTCCACCCTCTGACCTCCTCCACCCCTCTGGTCTCCTCCACCCCTCTGGTCTCCTCCACCCCTCTGGTCTCCTCCACCCCTCTGACCTTCTCCACCCTCCTGGTCTCCTCCACCCCTCTGGACTCCTCCACCCCTCTGGTCTCCTCCACTCCTCTGGTCTCTAATCTTCTGAACGGGAGGCCACACGAGTCGTCCTGCTAAGGGAACGTTGTTGTTCCAACAACACCAACACGAACACTTGTTGGGCACGACAACTGTTGTTGACGACCAGCCTCTTCTTCCCCTTAAGTCCCTTCCCGAGCAGAGAATGGCTTTGACGACGACATGAGAGATTGGTGCCAGAAATATTTGCACACTACTTGATCATATTGGCACCAGACAAAGGAAAGTGGAAACAAATGACGAAATTGAAAACAAATGTGCAGTGGTCACCTACGGGGATATCTTCCTACATGGATCGTGATGATAATAAGCCAATCATCTTATCTACCCTCTCCTTTATCCTTGCCAATATGCATCTTTATGGGGTTTCCCCTAATCCCCTATATCCCATCTTCCTTGCCAGTAGCCTTCTGTCATTATTTCCATTGGCATTCTCCCCTTGTCTTTTTTGTAACTCCCCCCCCCAGCCCTACACTCAATCCTAATCGAACCTCTGATGAGCACGGTTGGCTAGGCACAGAGTGAAAGAAGATCAACATACATAGATACATACAATCCTAATGGCCCCGCACAAACTCGACACTTCCACGCTGGCCAAGACATCTGGGAAAAAGGTGGGGAGTTCTCACACTTTACCCCATCACACGCAGGCTCCTGATCGACCAACTTGCGGTGTACCCATTTATACTGCTGGTGGGGGGTGGGGGGGGGGCTAATGGAGGGGGGGGACTTAGGAACTGCCGTGCTGGGAAATCGAATGCCGAACCCGCGACCTCTGGATGAAGGCACAGGTGCGTTCACCTTCAGACTAGAACCTCCAGAAGAGAAGTGAGTTCGGTGCTGATAGATTGGTGAGGGGCACTGTGAATTGGCAATGAGGGTAGAAGGAATTAGAATCCCCGTGCCAGCCATGGTCTGATGTGATTGTCCTGGGAAGGCTGTTTGGCAATACGTTTGTGCCTAAATGTCCTAATTATGCCTCACCGTCTCCACTTGACACTTCTTTTGCTAATTTACCCACTCGCCTCGCCCATTATAGTGGGCTGGCAAAGTCTCCGAAGCCCACTATGCAAATGTGTTCTTCTGTGGCAATTTACGTGACATAAAAATAAAACATTATGACAACACAGTTCGCGTGTCTCCTGCGAGACACTGCAGATATTTATGAGGTTTTTTTTCTCGTTTATTGTGTAAGCAGCACTAAAATGCAATTTTCAATGAATTGCTGATGAGATGAAGTAGCACCATGTTTTTTTTGCCTGTGTTCCGTGCACTGATAACTGTACACTGGTGCTTGCTACATGCATTATTAAGAATATAAGAATGTACACATGTAATGCCTTTAGGTAAATCCAGATCATCCTGATAATTGGTTTTTTACCCTTCTATCTGGCAACAAAACTGACACCTTTGTTTACAAGGAGTCGTGTTTGCATAGACCACAATACCTGCAGTCATAATGCAAACAAAAAACATAACTTTGATAATGTGCACTGTCCTTGAAGTTAATTGGTCCACACCCGAGACAGCTTTCCTTAGAGCCTAGTCTCACATGGGTTGGACCAGATGACGCCAAAAGGTTCCAATGGTGTAAATCCAGATCATCCTTTTACATATCTGGTAACAAAGCATTCTTATTCTTTAACTCCTCAAAATCCATACGTGTAGGTTCCACTCTTTGCAAGTTCGCCTCTAACTTGGCTTTATTTCTCATGGAATATGTACTGGGGGCCCCCAATTCTGTCCTGCTTACCACCCCCCCCCCCCCCCCCCCCCCCCCCACTTTCTGACAGCAGAGAGGAGTCGAAAGGAAATTATTTTATCGAGATCAGCAGCGGTCAGCTTCGGCTGAAATTAAGTCGTGCGTGTAATAATTCATCTCCGTGCGTATCCGAGCAATTTAATTCATTGTCAGGATTCACAGTCGCGTGAATTTTCAAGATTTGTGTGGATTTCAAGATTTTTATTTTTCTAACATCGCCTTGAATTGTAGCGCCTCTAAGTGGCTGCACGGGTGACGCGAACCCATTACATGCTTTACATACGAATCTAAAAAGCACATATTTTTCATACACGCTATTCGACACGACTAATGGGGTAGAGCGGCGGTTGAGTGTGCAACATTCGTTGGCACGTGTTGTGACGGGTATTGCAAGATCCGTCCATGTTTGCCCGGTGCTCTCTGAGCTGCATTGGCTTCCGGTTGCTGAATGGATACATTATAAGCTCGCACTCATTACACATGCAGTTTTTTTCCACAAATGAACCACAATACCTTTCTGATTTCGTCAAGGAGCATAAACCATCACGCAAACTCCGGTCATCTTCGCAGTGGCTTTTGGCTCGCCATCAAACAAAGACGATCACTGCATCGCGCACTTATAGGTGCGCTTCTGCGGCTGTCTGAAAGTCTCTTCCTTCCGATGTTAGGAAGCTACTGGAGCTATGCACTTTAAAATCTAAATCGAAAACTAATTTCTTCAGAACTGATATTTGTGTTTAGTTTGTCCTTCCCCCGCACCTCCCACGAGCACGGTTGGCTACGCAAAAGAAATTCAAAATACCGCACGATGGACCCGGAAAACTAAGCTTAATTCCTGGGCCACTGCTACCATCAATGGCGAGCGATATCAGAACTGGTCCTACCTTCACCAACCCACATGGACCAGCGTGGTGAAGTATGTAAAAAAAAACACGAACAAAATTACGTCGTGGGGCCTCTATCCATTGCTGCATTTATCTATTTTATAATTTTATCATTTACGTGATCTTCCAGTAATATCTGGTAACAGCCACTCTCATGCTCTTGCTCCTGACAGAGTCATACGCATCTTATTTTGCACTCTGTCAAGAGCATGCCCCGGCGTGCGTTCAGTTTTTGTGATGCCACCTTAACGCCGCCGCCGCCGCCGAGTTCTCACTCACCTGAGATGGCGAGCCTGGGCACAGGAGCTGCTGCGCCGTGACTTCCCTCCGGCAAGGCCCCTCCAGCTTCACGCAGTGGCGGCCGTTTCTCGTTTTCCCACGCGTCAGATTTGCGGGCGCTGTCGCCCGCCTCCGCCTCGCTCCCTCGCAGAGCGGCGCCGGTGTGGCCTCGCGGTGCCCACCGTGGTTTCGCGCGCCAGGGGCGGCCTGGGCCTGGCTCGCCGTGCGAAGCCCCGTGCGGCTCCGCGTGCGGTAGCTTGCGTGCCAGGGGGCCGCGTGGAGCGCCGGGTGGAATTTTAGACTTCTGCTGCGGGCAATTGTGGGGAGATTCAGAGGGCTTCTGGGATTTTTTCGGGTCATTCTGGGAGGTGAGGCTGAGCACGCGCCACAGGGATGTTCTGCCACTGCTGCGTGTGGCCGGGTCCACAGGGGGGAATGTTCCGATGCCGCTGTCCAGAGTATGCGTCTCACGTGCAAAATCTGCACGAGGGAACAACGTGGTGGGGGGGAAACGCAAAGAAAAGAAAACACCCAAGCTAAACTATGTTTATTTTACCGGGTAAGGCCTGCTGAGCTATGTAGCTCTTTTTTAGAAGAGACCTGGCCACAAATGATAGCGCAACGAAGTGGCTTATCACGTAGAAATTTATAGTAGCCGGATACTCAAAACGCACGTTTCTAAATTTGGAAGGAAAAAGCGTAGGATCCGGAGAAAAATCCACGCGACCACAGGGAGAACATGCAAACTCTAAAGCTACAGGCGTCAGGGTCGGGATCGAACTCACGAGCTCACATATACCAGGCGAGGTTGTTAACACACGTTTATATTGATATTATGATTCATAATTAGTGTATTGTAGGTTAGATCAGCATGTGGGTATAATGCGATTTTTTTTTCACTGTAAACCCTCCACCACTCAAATCAATTTGTCAACGTGGACGAATGTGCAAATTGGTTTGGGTTTTTCAGCAGGCCAGAATGTTGAACAGCAAAGAAAAGTGTTGACAATTCGCTGGAGCTTACATTCAGCATCATCAGGTATAAACAAAAGCTCAGCTTTGCTTTTTTTAATACCTACACTATCTAACCCTAAAAGAAACAAATTTTGAATCAAAACACATACAACTTTATTTTTTAAATCGTACTTAAATAAATACTTGCATGGCCCAAAGTGAGCAGATTGTTTAAAGCAATATCTGTTATCCCTTCAGTCATCTGGCACACCCTTGAGCACATTTATTGAATGGAGTTAAGGCCTTTAGGAAATTAAACCAGTAAATTTCAATTTTATTTTTTCCATGTATCACTGTGAAAACAAGAAATCCTATGTTCTTCCGTAGGAGCAAGAGTTTTTTTTTCATCAAGTCGTTTAGATTCTAGGCGATGAGATTTGATTCTCAGCCACGGCTAACATCAGTGGCGAGTGATAAATGAGCCGGTCTTGGGCACCTGCCTTCACGAACCTGCACTGATCAGCATGATAAAGTACGGTTTGACCATACACACGACCACTATACACAATTCTTTTTTATAGCGCATAGTGTAGTGTGAATGGTCAAATCAGCCCAACGACATTCATATGACGGAGGTCTTCATTGACCGGTGGATGGACAAAGGGGTGCAATTACTTAATAATTTTTATTATTGGTATACTTCTAACAGTGGTGCAGTAATGCTGTGCATCAAAAATCTGAAATCCAGTGCTGCCACCTGTCCTGGATTTAGATTTTTAGATAGCTGCAGTCCTGGGAAATCTACAAGTCTTGCCGGGACATTAATATTCCTTGCTTTTGTCAGTTGCGTAACTCTAGTAGTAATAATGACAACAAACCATTCAAGGCAATGCATTTACATTGAGCTCCGTTCTTTGGTATTGTGAAATACCCTTCTTCCCATCAAATGTATTGCTTTTTTTGTATCAGATATTATTACAATTCTTTTTCTTGTTTACCCAGGAAAGCCTCACTGAGTCTTATGAGGGTCCTGCCATGTGTTCTTAGCAGGGAGCAATTGCTGCTACGTATAATTCCAACCGAATCATCTGTAATCTTTCAAATTTGGCCAATTTGCACCGTGACGCTGAGCACACACACAGCGTCCTCCTCTTAAAAATCACGTCAAGGGGATCTTTAACGACCACCGTGAAGCATTCACCGTGTATCTTTACGGTGAGTACAGTGGCAGTATTCACCAGGGCGGCCGCTGGGTTCGAACCGTGAAACTCTGCAACGAGCGGCGAAGGCGCGACCGCTGGGCCCTGCCACCAGCCCACGTGGCTACCCTGGCTGGCGAGCTTTATGCAAAAACATGAAACGGATGTTCTCGTGTCTGTGTCGCCATTGGAACTGATGAAGCTTGTACACTGCGAGCGACCGTGTGGGCAAGCAAAAATCACGTGAGAGATTTCCAATATTTTTTCTCAAAGTGGGACGGTGGTGGGGGTTTTTCTCTCCCCCACGCTTTGATATTTCTCACGACTTCGGTGGGAATGCTGCACACACTGTCATCGTTTCTAGATGTGACTTGGGTGTAAATGGTGACGGTGGTGCTGGTGCTGCTGCTGCTGCTGCCACCGCTGCTGCTACTGCTGCTGTTACATTGGGCTACCTTCGAAAATGAGAACTTTCAATTACCCTGTCACTCTTGGATATTCTGGGTTATTCATGAATACATTCATGAATAAACACCGCTGCACGGAAAATCTAAAAATATATTTCAACAAATTTTGTTTTTGCACTTTTCTGTGACTGGTACAGTCGCTGGTCAACCCAAACAACAGACTTGGAATTGTATGGGATTTGCAATCCTTCCCTACACATGATGGAATGCTGCCACGGTGTAACGGTTAAGTCCTTTGGACTTACAATCCCAGAGGTTGCCGGTTCAAGTGTGGGCTACTCCTCCCCCTCTTTCAAAACGCCTGGCCACCAGTGATAGAGTAGACAAACCTCCCCCCCCCATCCAGATGGGCTCTTCAAAGCTCCATCTAGCGGCGGAGGCCCGTATCTTCAGCAGTGGCGCGTAATTGGAAGACCTTGGCTCCTAAAAATAGCACTTGCCCATTCAACACTGCTGCTCAACCTGCGTTCTCAACAGCAGCCGTTATTGAATTGGTCACAAACCTGCAATTAAATACAATGGGGGGTAGGGGAAACGCGGTGGGGGGGGGGGGGCATGCTATGCTATGTAGGGCTGCTGAACCGCCACCTCTCATTTGATCCTTAGCTGTAGATACCTGAGGGCTGCGTTGTGTGTATGTACGCCTGTGAGTGTCCGTCATTACATTTGTCTTCAATACCCAAATCCCAAGCTGCTTTAACGGCTATTTTATGGACCGCAGATCCCCCCGACTATAACATTATCATCATCGTTAAAGAGTTCAAATGATGTAATTTAATTTAAATAGATTTCACATTTTCCAGCCCTAATTATGACAGGTTTTTATGCCCAAAATTTCACTCACGGGTCTCATTACTCAGAGGCATTGAGACCAGCTGTCCCTTCCTGCCCCCCCCCCCCGCCTCGCCACCCCCACCCCTCACCCTCCCCCATAACCCCCTTCCCTTCGAGGCAGAGGCAACATCAGCAGCAATCAGTGCCTGGGGTAGTGGATGCCTGCTTGGCAACATTACAGGCTAAAAGGCCAAGGGAGGCCAAGATATCTGAGATTAAAATCTTTATGGCAGTTGGCTCGGCTGAAAGCGTGATGGATTTTCAATGTTGGGCATTGCCGGCAAAAATGCCCGCAATGCGTACAACTGATCGTGGCATTTTCCACGTTTCGGCCGGAAGAACTTATTCATCACCGTATTATTTTTTTTTACTTTTATTTTAGTTTTTAGGCTTTTTTTTCTCCTTTGCTTTCTCTCTTTGTGCTTGCTCACATTCTGCACCATTCATCTGCGTGACCCTTTCCTAACCCTAATACACTTCTCTTGACATTTCCTTTCTTTCTCATCATGCAACGTGAAGCGTAAAATGTTACATTTCTCCATATCGTCCCTGTAACCTGTTCACATCAGAGTCTGAGTCACCGCTGCCTCCTTTCAAAGCCCGCGCAGTATTGTTTTTATGTAATTTTTCCGTACACATTCGGAGGAAAAGTGTGTGCATGTGTGTGCATCTAGGCGAGCAGCAAGACCACTCTCGCTGGACGCGAGGCAAATGTTAATAACGGTAAACAAATACAACGAAATAACACAAACACACACAAAACCCAACCACATCAGGCGATTTAATAGGCACACGACCCTTTTCATTACAAAATAAATGTGAAATATCTTATCGGACACGCTTGCTGCCACGCAACGCATTACGATTCCGTGATGGCGTTTTTTGTTGTTGTTGTTGTTATCTGTGCTTGCGTCTCGTTTTTTTGCTCACCTGTGAAGCGCTGCCCATCTCCCCGCGGTGATGACGATTCTCCGCGCGATGCAGGTGACACGCCGTCCCCAATCGCATCCTCATCACCGGCGGTGCGCTGAGGCAAAGGAATGGATGGGGAACGTGAAAGGTTACACGGTTTCAAGTGTCACGCTGATAATTTTGTTTAACCGGGCAAGGAGAACCTGGGCAGTAGGAGCTCTGCACGTGGCCTTTGGGGGCAAGCAGCGAGGATTGTTGGATCGCGCACAGATGTTGTGAATTCCCTTCCCGTGGGCCGTCGAGGTGCCATACTCTGGCTCGCCAGGAGGAGACAGGGCAGCAAGGGGACTAATTGCTATCTGTTTCGATCTGGACAGGGATGGAGTGTTGTGCTTGTGCAAGCTGGGGCTTTTCTCTGGGTGCTCTGGTTTGCTCCCACTTGGATTATTAACACTCGTCATTAATTGGCTGAAAACATCTTAAAAATAAAAGCCAAGCGCAGGGCCCTTGCCTGAAAAAGAGTCGTATGACTCAGTGTGGGATACATAAATAAAGTAACTCAAGACGCCAGGATATAGTTTCGAAAGCAAAAATAAAATAAAGTACAGTACAGCAATGAAACAAATATAAATCAGGGCAAACACAACTGTGTTGTCACGTGAGAAATAAAAAAAAATACTGCACAAACATAAATCAGTATTCAATAATGGGTGTCCTGTAGCGTAAGCGGGCTCCTCCTGCAGATTGTTTTTGAGACTGATCAAAGTAAAATAAAGTTACAAAAACATGAAACAGATAGAGGGTAACTATTGTTCTAATATGTAAACAGACGAGGATAGAATGCAGGTGGTCTCTCTTTTTACTTGCAATGGTGACATTTATAACACAAAATGCATTATTTATTTTTAGTATTACACTTGTTTCGCCAAGAAAACCTCACTGAGTGTAATCTATTTTTAAGGATGGTCTTGATACGTTTTTGCAGTAGTTGGACAATGATTAGTAACTATTCAATAATTTTCAAAACGTGGTAAATGTGGACAATGATGCCGGCACACAATGGCCCACTCTTCATCAAATGACATCACAACATCTTTAGCATCCACTCTGAAACAGATGATGCATATTTCAAGGCAAATAAAACAGTGGACGTATTAACTAGAAAAACCTGCAGGAATCGAACCACGAACCTCTGTGACAAGCAAGTGAATAAGCTACTGCGAGGCAATGTGACCACAACCGATTAGCATGGTTAGCTACGTACGGTGCGAAAGAAGTTTAACATACATACATACAGCATACATATCCCGATTGTATTATCAGCATCGTGTCGTGAGACAAAATTTTCCAGTCGTATCTCTTCCAGAGCAGTGCAAACCTTTGTGTTCTAGAATGGTCCACGGGAGCGGATATCAAAGAGCGGCATTTGGGGATCTGTAGAGAGCAGGACTTTCACACCTACTCTGCATATGAAATTAATTTTCATCACGTGACAGTCGTTCCAGTATTTTAAGTACGAAAGCTGGAATTTAGGCAAAACTGTGGACCGAAACAAGTTTACATGTACACCATTGAAACCTCATTTGCCAGTAAAAAATATGATAATTGTTTTTTTTACCCTTCTATGTGGCAACAAAACTGACACCTTTTTTACAAGGAGTCATGTTTGCATAGACCACAATACCTGCAGTCATAATGCAAACAAAAACCACAACTCTGACAAAACCAATTATCAAGTTAACATGTGCCGCATTTTTCCCAGTCATTGGCGACCGGTCTCAGGCCATCAATGTCACTCTCCTTGAGAAACCCCTGTTTAATCACAGGTGAATTCGAAGCCAGCTCTGACCTCTGACCTCTGAACCACGCGGCGCTCTCTCAGTTGGTTGCTCTCCTGAGGTCCAGGTTTCAATTTCAGTTTTGTTGATGTTGTTGTTGTAATAAGCACAGTAGTACCTGGCCCTGATGGAATGCGACCTCACGTCGCTTCCAATCTGATTAACGCGACTCGCTGGGGGGACGCTTAAAAGCGTTCGGTTGAGAACGGCGCACGCGAAAAAGGTGGTCCCCAATAGCCACCCCTGGGTGGCAGGGTGGAGCAGCGGTAAACACGCGTGCCTCACGGCAAGATGAGAAAGGCCTGGGTTCCATTCTCAACTCTGGCACCTTCCTGTGTGGTTTCCTCCGAGTTATCCGCTCCCCCATGGCTAATGAAAATCATAGCCAAACATCCCAATGCTGAAAAATTACCCGTAAATCACCCAATTGCGATTGCACACAGCTACAACATCGCCTGCCGCAGAGAAAACTTGGCATGAAAAAATTAACCCGTAAAAACCAAGTTTTCACTATAAATCCTTTATATGCGTGGCGGCTAGAGTCCTCTCGTCCTCTGGCTTGAGATGGCTGCCACCTATGGGTCAGATGATTGCCTGGCAGCATTAAGCAATTGGTAATTAAATATAAAAAAAAAATTCTTAAAAGTGTAAAATTTTGCAAATTTTTTTTTCACGAAAGTTAATTGTCACGCACAACGAGTCTGTGTGGAAAATGTCAGCTCGATTGGATCATGGGAAGTGGGTTAAAAAACGACCGAAAGATTTGCACGGTCGTAAGCGCGCAAGCAAGCAAGCGAACTTAATATAAAGGATGTAAAAAGAGTTGAGATTGAGTGGGGCTTTTGTGGGTTAACAGCAGGCGTAGTAATACTAATAACGATGATACACAATGGCCCTCATATGCATTGTATACTCGTACATTTTTCAGTTGAGTTAGTTTTTATCGCAATATCTCTGTCTCATTTCTGTATGGCAAGAAGAGCTGTTGGCTGCTGGGCGAGAAGAGCAACAGAGTGAGTGGCTGCGAGAGGAGGCAATGGGGCCGTCCATAAATGACGTCACGTGATTTTGGACGATTTTTGACCCCCTCCCCCCCTTCGTCACACGGCGTCACAAAAAGTCAGACCACCCCTCAAATATGACGTCACAACGCTCTGTCCCCTCCCCCCCCCAAATAAAACATGCTTCAAATCGCTTTAAACTATTGTCATCGTAGTGCGTATTTAATGTGTCGCTGCACTCTGATGCTGTAGGAGAAAACATTGATTAAAAAGTCAATTTAATTAAGTAGAACGTGTTGTCTATATTTATTTAAAGTTGCGCATTTTGATGTGACGTCACATTTCCCAACCCCCCCCCCCCCCCCCATCACACAAATGTCTGACCTCCCCCCCCCCCTAGGTGCGTGACGTCATTTATGGCCGGCCACATTGCGGAGATGGAGCGGTGAGATCGGCGCCTGCGCAGGTGCATTGTTGTATCGCAGGACTATGAGGGATTGAGAAGGCTTGGGTCTGCATCCGTTGAGTTTGAGTTTCTTTGCTTGGGTGCCGTAATGGCGAGATGTTATCTGCCTCGCCTGGTATGCAGGAGGTCGTGGGTTCCATCCCGACCCTGACAACGCCTGCTGTATATTTGGAGTTTGCGTGTCTCTCTATCATCATCACAGTGGCTAGGAGATGTTGACTACCTCGCCTGGTATGCAGGAGGTCGTGGGTTCCATCCCGACCCTGACAACGCCTGCTGTATATTTGGAGTTTGCGTGTCTCTCTATCATCTTCACAGTGGCTAGGAGATGTTGACTCCCTCGCCTGGTATGCAGGAAGTCGTGGGTTCCATCCCGACCCTGACAACGCCTGCTGTATATTTGGAGTTTGCGTGTCTCTCTATCATCATCACGGTGGCTGGGAGATGTTAACTCCCTCGCCTGGTATGCAAGAGGACGTGGGTTCGATCCCGACCCGGACGCCTGCTGCTGTATATTTTTGGAGTTTGCGTGTCGCGCTCACCGGAGTCACGTGCTTTTTTTCTCCGTTTTTTCCCCCTCCACATTTAGAATCAACATCACACGTTAACAGCCACTTAGTTGAGCTGTGATTTGTGGCTGGGTCGCTTCTGAAAAATAGCTATATAACTCAATGGGGCCTTACCTGGCAAATTTTTAATGTAATTGTTTATATTGTTGGTTCTTTCGGTAAAGTCACGTAGAAGGGAAATAATAAAATAATAAAAATAAAACATAATAAAATGTAATTCTCACAACGTTTCGCCCACAACGCTAGCAGCTGTCCTCAGGTGAATAAACAGAGCTGTCAGAAAGACAGCGCTCCAATGAACACTGCTAAGGTTGGCAGCGTATTTTAAGCTGGGTTGGAGGAGGAGAGCGCCTTGACAAAGGAGTTTACATATCAACAGAAGAATTTAGCATATTGATGACAAATGCAGATATGGGGTAAGTCACTCCTTGTGGAATGTGTAGGCGGTGGGGGGGGGGGGGTCTCAAAGTCATATGATGAAAGTGTATTATGTAGGATTAGCAGTGCACTAAGTTGATACGCGGTGGTTTGGGCTGTTGCAGTTCTTTAGTATTAAAATGTCCCTCCCTTTATTACTGCTACTACTAACTACTACTGAGTTAGTAGTAGTATTCTACTGAGTTAGTAGTAGTATCCTACCGAGTTAGTAGTAGTTAGTAGTAGTATCCTACCGAGTTAGTAGTAGTTAGTAGTAGTATTCTACCGAGTTAGTAGTAGTTAGTAGTAGTATTATACTGAGTTAGTAGTAGTTAGTAATAGTATTATACGGATTTAGTAGTAGTTAGTAGTAGTATTATACTGAGTTAGTAGACTGTAGCTATGGTTATTAAACTTGACACACTTAGGCTACGCCCATCTCTAAAGCTTTATAAACAGTTTGCCTTTAGAAGCTAACCCCCTTTTTCCTGATGACGACAGCTTGTGTTGCGATCGAAACGTCGTGGTTCTTTTTTACTGAAAGAACCAGAAGTCTACATTATAGACTGTCAGTGCACTCACTCAGATTAAGAGCCAAGCTACAGTCTAGATTATAGACTGTCAGTACACTCACCAGCTTAAAAACCAGGCGACAGTCTATATTATAGACTGCCAGTACACTCACTAAGGTTAATAACCAGGCTAGAGTCTACATTATAGACTGTCAGTACGCTCACCGAGGTTAAGAACCAGGCTAGAGTCTACATTATATACTGCCAGTAGACTCACCAGCTTAATAACCATTTCTACAGTCTATAACTCTA